GACATGTTGCCAAAATATCACCCGGTTAATGAATAACTTCCGGTACTTTCATTGTATTCGCATTGACCAATCAAATCACGTTCTGAGTTGGATTATCCCAGGGCTTCTGAGAGCAATAAGCGCAGAAGCCCTGGGTACGAGGTTGAGGATGGACGCAAATGAACATTGCGATAATTACCAAATGCTAGCCGGAAAATTGACCAAATCAGCCAAAGATGCCTGCCAAAGCCAGCCGAGTAAAGGCCTAGGTCTAGGCTGAGTTGAACCATTTCTACTTGAACTGATTGTATGAGTAATTTGTAATTTGACCATTTTTGTGTAGTTATTCTCTTTTATGTTATTAGAAGCTATTTTAATTTCCCAGGAGCAGAAAATCTTGTGCTTAACATAAGGATATTTTAATTTCATACATGCACCATGTATTCAAGCAGCTAATTAAGTATGTTTGTGAAATACAATACAACGAAAACTTCGAGGAATTTGTTTGCTTAGCTTCAAGTTTCAATTTGTGTGATGACTTTGAACAGGTAAATCGACGTTTTCGTTGTGTTTTATTTGTGTTTTATTATCTATTAAAGGGCCTCAGTAATTGGTACCGTACTGTTGTGGTGACCCTGCCATGAATGCATGATAATGGCGAAGTTAAATAAATAAATAAATAAATGTCAATATTTTACATAACCGTAGGTTCAGCATAGACATAGTGCTAAGACATTAATTCAAATTACAACAATAGGATAATTTCTTAAGGTCTAGTCCTCTTTTTAAGACACTCTATAGACGCTTTGAAATTAAAGGATTGAAGTTTGTTGAGTTTCCATGTCTCGATTGACTGACTAATTAAAACCGTTATGTAACCGATTATTAAACTCATTCGTGTACTGACCACGTTATCCCAAAAGCAATATTGTTATTTTTTTATCTTGCATTTGTAACTATATGGTTGTATTTATCGAAACGTGTTACGAATTTACTATTTAGTTATCTATTGTTCGTTGTTAAGGCTTGTCGAAATTCCTACCTGGTTTTTGGCAGGTATTTAGAAATTTTTAAAAATTTAAAACATTTCTTTTGACTAGACCTTTTCAGTTTGCAATTAAGTCATTCGTTTCATAACCAGTATCATCACCATCATCACTACCGTCATCATCATCACTACCCATTACCCATTACTACCATTACGATCACTACCATCATCACTACCACAACCATCGTCAAAACCATCACCATTACCATCACCATCATGATCATAAACACGACCACCTTTAAAATGTTTATCCAGTACTGAAAACTGTTTTATAGTCAAATCATTATCATAATCACCAAAAGATAAACAATAATTTATTATAATCATCATTACCATTTGGTGTAGGTCTTTATACTCGGCTGGTTTTGGCAAGTTTGATCAATTATTAGTTTGATCACTATTATTTGCACGCAGTTATTTGCAGGTAAATTAACCAATCAAAATTAAGAATACTATATACAAAGTGAATGATAATACTAATTATTATTTTTATCAACGTTATTAATAGTATCTAAGAAAATATGTTATTAAAGTTTCCAGTATTATAACAGAATTTCTGTGGTCTATTATTTTGCCGCAATTGACCAGTCTATTATGGCAACGCGTTGCCAACACAAATTGAAACTTGAAAAGTTATAATATTTATTAATGATTATATTTTAATCGGTGTATTATTTTAATATATTTAAACCACCAAAAGATAAACAACAACTTATTATAATCACCATTACCGTTATCATTAAGTGTAGCAGAACTACGTAAAAACACATATACATACACAGCCTAGACCTAGGCCTTTACTCGGCTGGCTTTGGCAGGTTTGATCAATTTTCGGGCTAGCATTTGGTATGAAGACGTCACAGGCGAACTAGATCCCAGTCTTCTCATGTGAAAAAGAGCTCAATATATTACAAATAAAAGGCCTAGGTCTTGGGCCTCTTGGCTGAGACATACAGAATCTATATATTTCAGATATATTTCATACAAAGCTACAATTTTGTGGGACAGTCACCGAGACCCATGTACTATCTTTGTTTTTCTACACAGCTGTAGACAGTCACATACTGTAGTAGTAACCTTATTTTCAAGCATTACGCACTTAATTGTCCTCGCGTTGAGTTTCCCTTACATTTGCACTTGCCTTTAAGGATGAGGAACTCAACTCCGCCAACGACCAAAGCGACAGCATTCTTTACAATAAAAATAACAGCTTCGTATTTATGCCAAATGATGGCACGTAACACCAAGAACGGGAGGTTAGTGCCGATGATCTCTAGTGGACCAAGAACCATGAACAACAGTTCCTTCCTTTCTTGGACTGCGCCATTAATCATGAACTTATTTCGAATCAAACCAAACGGGGAGAACAAAAAGCTCAAGCAGGAGAAGACAACAATGCATATTTCTATATCTTTGCCTAAATCAAAGTTTCCCTCCTTTTGCATCAGGAATATTTCCAACATCTCAATGCCATCGAAGATATTCAACGCAGAAAATATAGACAACGATAGGACAGGCTTTCGGTAGGACGGGCAAATCATGAGCTGTAGTAGGAGGACCAGCATTCCTGGGGTAATACACAGCGTACCCAACAGTGCATTGATCCCAACATCTTCATCTTTAGTAAGTTTGTGTGCGACCTTCCCAAAAATCACGGCAACTGTAATGACATAAGCAACGATGTATGTTCCCCAAATAATCCAAACGGCCAAAATAGTTTCGTCTTCGTCTGCGTACAGTTGCTCGTTAGCACGAAAGAAGACAAGTATCAAAACAAATGCGGGCACAAACCAAAGAAACCACGCCGCATATACACGATTGTCCAGATGTTTTAACAAAAAGGAGACGAAAAGACAAACTTGCAACCAGTAAAGTACGAATAACGTTATCCATCCAAGACCAACGAGAGATGGCGACCTTTGTTCTGTTTCTGCTCTGCTTTCTCTCATTGTAAAGCTACGTCTTTCACGAATATATTTAGATTTAAAATTAAAGACGTCAAAGGATTTGACTAATGTAGCGTAGAATCAGAGAGCAATAACGTTTACAACAACAGCTTTCTTTTTTAAATAACACATTTCGGTAGAGCTGTGTCATGCTATTTTAATGCCAAATTAACTTAAATTTTCAAAAATTTTGAAAACAAAATATACTATTTTACAAAAGTAAGAACTTGATAAGCATCCAAAGCTATTTTGATTATCATAACAACGTCCACACCACCTGTCACAAAAATTAGAATGTGTAATTAAACACACTGTGTGCGCAAGGCAGGGGTGTTAGTCATATGGAATAAAATTTATCCGGCACCATTATCATCATCATTCACCATCATTATGACCAACTACCACCATCATAATCACCATCATTACCACCAAACGGTGGTAATATAGAAGTGGTAAGATGGCTTTTGGTTTCGTAACAATAATTTCTACAGGGAAACATTCCAAGAAAGAAAAAATGAAAGATGTTTCTATAATAATGTTCCTCTAGGCTGGACACCTTTGATGAGACTTGCAATGTTACGAGGCAACATTGGACAACATATCCAGCATGGACAAAGACGGCAAATCCGTTCTAATGATGGCCTCACTCAACGGCGAACTAGACTTGGTCAAACTTCTGATATACAAAGGAGCTGATTTCACGTTGCGAAGCGTACATGGCAAGACTGCTTTAGATTTTGTTCGGGCTTTTGATAGAGAGAAAATTGTGGAATATTTGGATGAATTATGGAGAGCTTATAAGGAGAAAGAACGAAGGAAACAGATGGATAGCTGGCAAGAAGATGAGAAATATGCACAAACTGTGAACTTACTCAAGACCGCACGAAGTATGGCTAGCGCGGTCGACGTCACTGAATGACGTGTTAGATATTGCAAAATGTTATATTGTTGTAAATTTGTAGATTTCTAAATGGAAATATATAGTTTTCTTTTTAATTCTTGTGTGATTTGAATTGTGTATTCAGAAGTGTGAGCGAAAGTTTTAAAGTCCGTTTACACTTGCAATTTGTGCTACGATTTCCAGTGCGATTTTCTTCTGAAGCATGTGAACGAGTGGATGAGTTACGAATGTTCGTAGTACGTTTACCCTCATCTGAACATTCATAACTTATCCACTCGTTCACATCCGTCAGAAGAAGAATATCGCATCTGAAATCGCAGCAAAAATTCCAACAGCACACATGCCTTTAACGAGAATCATCAAATATCATTAATGCAAGAATTATCATTACCACAATCACGATATTGTCCGATTAAGAACTGAATTAAGCCGGTTTTCCACTAGCGAAGTTTTTCGCGCGAAGCGACCTTTTTCCTTTGTCGGTATCACTTATTACGTCAGCAACACGTGACAAAATGGATGCCCACAAAGGAGAGGAAAAAGGTCCCTTCGCGCGAAAAAATTCGTTAGTGGAAAACCCGGTTTTAAGATACTTTGGTATATACCATGCCTAAAGTTACTTTTTTGATAGATAGATAGATACTTTATTGCGTGTTCCCCTAAGGGCTTTTCAACACTACATTACATATTAAAATTACTATAAATTACTACTAAAACTACCTATGTTACATATACTGATTTAAAATTAGTTAAAATATGTACAAAGAGTATAAAATATTAAATGTATTTAATAGGATTCTTTTAGTAAAATCTCCCTAAGTTTTTTCTTAAAAATTGTTATTGATGTAATATTTTTTAGTTTATCATCCAAATCATTCCATATTTTAACACCCCGGTAATTAAATGTTCTTTGACCTGTAGCAGATTTATACAGAGGGATGTCCAAGAGGTCATGATTTCTTGTCGAACGATCATGTATGTCGGAACGCTTTATAAATTTATCTACTAGGTAGTCAGGTGCAAGTCCATTAAAACACTTGTAAGCCATTACAGTATCCCTTTCCAATAATAACTTTTCCACTGGCAACCAATTTAGTTCGTCAAAAAGACCACGGCGGTCCAAAGATCGCGCTGTTTCCACGTAACCAATGGCAACGAACAATGTTACATTTATTTTCCAGTGTTGTTGTGACGTAATTATCGGAAAGTCCATTGTGGCAACCACTGGAATTTGCCGTGACTTGTGTCCCCTAGTGACTCCCTACAACCTGAATCTCGTACCCCGAGCCTGCCACAAAACTCAAAAAGGTATCTCAAACGTGGAGGTCTAGTTGGTTTGTGTTTGAACTAAAGCTGGAGTTACACGAACAACAAAATTGCTGCAACTTCCAACAAAATCTGATTTCAACGCATGTGAAGTAGAAATGTCGACACATGTTGCCTTGTGATTTGTAATTTATGTGTAAACATTTTCAATTAACATGCGTAGAAATCAGATTTTGTTGCAAGTTGCAGCAATTTTGTTTCTCGTGTAACTCCACCTTAACTGATAAAAGCATAGATCTGTGAGCGATCATGCGTGCGAGAGTAATTCAACAAAAAAAACTTCGCTGTGGGATATTATACATCTAATTTAAGTATTAATATATGCTAATATGAACGACAGGTAGAATGTTGTCATGAAAAGAGTCAAGGGATATTTTATTAATGCGTGTCTAATTGAAACATGAGCTTTAATTGTATCTATCAACTTGCGTTTCCAGGAACCAGTATCCAATGAAATACTAGGAATAAGGGTCACACCCTTCCGAAAGCCATTATTTAACCACGAAAGCTTTTGTTGTTTGCCGTTGTATGCTACAGTAGTCAAGCGCTTCGAGGTTTGTGATTTACGCTGAGACGAAAAAAATCTGGCCTTACAATGGCGGATAGCTCGGATGAAAGGTCACCTTACTTGGTTGTCACCGGATGGATAGTGTTACTCTTATTGTACATCGCGCAAGTTGTTCTTCTAGTCTTGTTTTTGACAGAACACGAAGACTCCGACTACGGCTGGTATTATGTTATGTTTATAGTTGCTCCGATATTAACAGTCGTTTTCTTATACCGACATTGGGAAACGAATGGATATGCCGATAAGGATAAAGAAATACGCCTCGTTTGGGCAATTTGGGGAACATACATTGTGCCTTTCGTTGTTACAGTTGCCACGATTTTCATTACGGTCGCGAAAGAGCTGACTAAAAAGCGTACCCTTGGTGTTAATGCTTTAAAAACGACGCTATGTATTACACCAGGATTGTTAATCCTTTTCCTGCAGCTCGCAATTTCTCCATCTTACCGAAAGCCTGTCCTGTCTCTGTCTATAGTTGCCGCATTGAATATCTTCGACGGAATCGAAATGTTGGAAACCTTTCTGATGCAAAACGAAAGACTTCTGGATCTAGACAGCGCGACAGAGGGAGTTAAAGAATTTTGGATGCAAAATGGGGGTTATTTTAATTTCAGTAGCGCCAACGGGACGGAAATATTGAAAACATTTTTATTGAAAGAAGACAAACATTTTGATTTGAACAGTGAGACAGAGTGGTGCATCATTGTCTTCGCCTGTCTTTGTTTCCTTCTGTCATCTTTCGGTTTGGCTCGAAATCAATTTGAAGGTGAAGGCAACGTAAAAGAACGGACGAAAACGTCGATTGCTTTTAGCTTCTTCGAAATAATCTTTATTAATCTTCCATTCCTGGGCATTCGAGCCTACATTTGGGAAAAACACAAGTACGAAGCTGCCGTGTTTATTGCCAAGAATATTGTGTCTTTCGTCGTTGGTGCAGTCGAGTTTGGCATCCTCATAAAAATTAAACTATCAGAATAGAGCAAATCGAAAAACCATCGAAAATGAACTTTAGTTAAAACTAAATACAATGTGCAATTTATGTATTGGTAGACTCTTTTTGTACCCTTGATGTGAACTGTTTATATAGTGAAACTATTTAGACTTAGTGAGTACATTCATAGTCATTCACGACATGGTCCGAATCACAGTACAGTTCAAATACATGCATGGATCACAATTTCAAAACATTTTATTTGTTCACGGTGAAGTCGTTAGAACATAAACTCGTAGTTTATTATAAAACCTTTGATGTTTGCTGAGGTTTCAGATCTATATTTCGATTGGCTATATATATTATAGCGACGATTTAGAGGTTTACTTATACGAAATCGTGTTACGATTTAGGTATAGGAATTCATGCCTGGTTTTGGCAGGTATTTTTAGGAACAATAATATCAAAATAGCCTTTATTTCATATATACAATATCTATATGACAATTCAAAAAAATATTGTTTTGACTTGACCTTTTCCAGTTTGCAACGGAGTCGTTCGCAACCTCGTTCCCAGGCTCTTTCCTCTACACTCCTACACCATAACCACTATTCATCACCATAACCACCACGATCAGCCCCACGGCCCCCACCATCATCACCACTACCATCATCATCGCCACCATCATCCACCACCACACCATCATCACCATCATCATCGCCAACATCACCCACCACCACCACCACCACAACCACCACAACCACCACAACCACCACCACAACCACCACAACCACCACAACCACAACCACCACAACCACCAC